GTTGGAAGAACTTAAAGCCTTGGAGAAAACTCATACTTGGGACCTCGTAGAGCTCCCTTCAGGTAAAACTCCTATTGGATGTAAATGGATCTACAAGATCAAAACTCGCTCAGACGGCTCTGTTGAACGTTATAAAGCCCGGTTGGTGGCTAAAGGCTATACTCAAGAGTATGGCATTGATTATGAGGACACATTTGCTCCGGTTGCTCGGTTGACCTATATTCGGAGTCTTTTGGCTATTGCTGCAGTTAAACGTTGGCCTCTTCTCCAGATGGATGTTAAGAACGCTTTTCTCAACGGCGATCTTGATGAAGAAGTTTATATGAAGCCCCCACCTGGATACTCTCATAATTCTCAATAAGTTTGTCTACTTCAGCGTGCGCTATATGGACTTAAACAAGCACCTCGTGCATGGTTTGCAAAATTCAGCTCCACGATTGCACGATTTGGTTTCACCTCTAGTCCTCACGATTCTGCTTTGTTTGTTCGCCATACTAACAAGGGTGTTGTTTTCTTGTTACTCTATGTAGATGATATGATTATTACAGGTGATGATTCCAGGGCTATTTCTGATGTCCAACATTATCTTAATCAACACTTTGAAATGAAGAATTTGGGACCTCTTAGCTATTTTCTAGGTCTTGAAGTTTCTTCCACTTCTAATGGCTACTATTTATCTCAAGCTAAATATGCTGCTGATCTACTCTCACGGGCTGGTATAACAGATTCTAGTACTACATCTACAACATTGGACACAAATGTTAAATTAACACCTTTTGATGGCACACCCCTTGCTGATCCTACACTATACAGGCAACTGGTTGGTAGCCTTGTTTATCTTACAGTAACTCGTCCGGATATTTCTTATGCTGTTCACGTAGTAAGTCAATTTATGGCAGCTCCTCGTACAATTCACTTTACTGATGTGCTCCGTATCTTACGATATATTAAAGGTACTCTCGTGCACGGTCTTCATTTTTCTGCTCACTCCTCATTAACCTTGTCTGCCTACTCTGATGCTGATTGGGCTGGAGACCCTACCGATCGTCGTTCAACGACTGGTTACTATTTCTTCTTGGGCGACTCACTTATTTCATGGCGAAGTAAAAAGCAAACAGTCACTTCTCGGTCTAGCACTGAATCTGAATATCGGGCACTTGCTGATGCTACTTCTGAATTGATTTGGCTTAGATGGCTACTTGAAGATATGGGTATTAAACAATCCTCGCCTACTGTTCTTCATTGTGATAATCAGAGTGCAATTCAAATTTCCCATAATGATGTATTTCATGAACGGACCAAACACATCGAGACGGATTGTCATTTTATTCGCCAACATATTAAACATGGAACTGTGCAACTTACTTATGTTTCTTCCGAAGATCAATCAGCAGATATTTTTACTGAAGCTCATCTCCCTGGACGGTTTCAATTTTTACTACGCAAACTCAAGTTGACTTCTACTATCCCACCTTGAGTTTGAGGGGGGGGGGGTGTTAACGTATATATTCTAACGTCTATATTCTAACATATATTTAGCTTTGTATTTTTGGTTGATTATTATCCTCATTAATTGTCTTTGATTTTCTTTCCTTTTCTTTATCTTACAATTTGTATATATAGGAGTTCATCCTTTGTAATTGATTTAAGAGATATACATACAATTCATACTATTTGTAACACTCATCAAAGAAAGCATTCATAAGAAACTCACTTCCATTGTCTGTTCTCACAATCTTTATCTTTGCTGAGAATTGTGTATCAACATACTGATAGAAAACTTGAAATAAAGATCTAACCTCAGATTTGTTCCTCATGAGGTGAGTCCAGGTGAATCTGCTGTGATCATCCACTATTGTTAAGAAATAGTGTTCCCTTTTCTGGGATGCAACTGAAAATGGTCCCCATACATCCATGTGGATTAGATCAAAACAATTTTCAGTTCTAGATGTGCTCAAAGGAAAAGGAGACCTCTTATGTTTAGCAAAATGGCAACTATCACAAGCAATGCCATGAATTTTATTAGACTGAGCAGGTTTTATTCCATACAAGTATTGGATCTTGTCCATAGGATAGTGTCCTAATCTATTATGCCATAATTGCAATGTCACAGCACTGCACTGTCTATCATCAATTCTATCAGACTGATCATCTTTCTTCTTGGCAGGTGGATGCTTGACCAAGTACAGTCCACCCTTTTCTTCAGCAAAACCATGCACTATTCCACAGGGATCCTGGATATTGCATGACACATCATTCATAATAAGTTTGCAGCTGCTCTGCCTAGCCAATCTACTAGCAGAAATGATATTGAAAGAAAAGGTTGGGATATGAAGAACATTTTTCAATAGCAGATTTGGATAAAGTTTGATTTCCCCCACATTAGCAACCTCCACTGTTTGTCCATTAGGCAGTTTGACAGAGATATCCTGGACCTTATGGCAATTCTCAAGATATTCTAAGGAGCAAGTAATGTGGTCTGTGGCTCCTGAGTCTAGAATCTAAACTGTTGAGCAATTCAAAATGGAATTAACAAGATAGTTAGAAATAGACCTGCCTTCCTTAGGTTCTTCTGGCTTGTCTCTGAAATCTGTTCTGATTCCAGATTTTCCAACTGTGAGAGCAGCACTAGTGGATGCTTGACTTCCCTGGTTTTGATTCTGCAATAATGACAACAACCTCTGGAATTGATCAGCAGATAGGCCTATGTCTCCAACCTGGTTTACTGAGCCACTTTGAGTCTGTTGATTGTCATTATTCTGCCTGCCTTTGGATTTGTAACCAGCTACCCATCCAGGTGGGTAGCCATGCTTTTTATAGCATTTTTCAACAGTATAACCAAGCATATTACAGTATGTGCATTTTGGAACATTCTTTCCTGTGTTATTGAACTTTTTCTTACCATATGAGGTTGAAGCAGCCACCAATGATTGTTCATCAGTATTCTTATACTGAGTTTCATTTTGAATAAGCAACTTCATTGCTTTTATGACTTCCAGAGCCATTTAGCTTTCTTTCCAGCTTCAAGGCCATGTTCAAAACCTTCTCAATGTTTGGTATAGGATCCATCACCAATACCCCTGACTTTATAGTTTCAAATTCCTCATTCAATCCTTCTAGGAATCTTATCACCTGATCTTCCCCTCTATCCTTTTGTATCTTACTCATAAGTTTGCAGGAACACTTAGGCACACATTCACACATGTACATAGGTCTCATTGCATTTAATTGTTCCCATAGAACATTGCATTTAGTAAAATACTCATTGATAGACAAAGTACCTTGAATGTTTTTGTATATTGCATTCTGAACTTCTGCTATTCTATGTGGATCAGCCTGTGAATATCTTCTCCTCAGAGCTGTCTAAATCTCCTCAGCTACTTCAAAGTATAACACACTTTCTTCTATGGTTGGACTGAGCGACTTCAGGATCCAGGAGCACACAATATCGTTGCACCTTTTCTAGATCGCATATCTCGGATCAGTTTTCCCTGGACACACAATGCTTCCATCTACGAATCTGAACTTATTCTTCAACCCTAGGGCAATCTTCATGGATCTGCTCCATGAAGCGTAATTGCTTTCATTTAGGGGAGGAGAAACAAGCGTAAGGTTCAAATTCTCCGTAATATGGAGATATAAGGGATCATCGAACTCCTCTGTTCGATACGAGTAGTTGCGATTTGCAGCAGTTTGATTGATGGGAGGAGTGGCTGTGGCGTCTTCTGTCGGCGTTGCTCCACCTACTCCGGAATCCATGACGACGGCGGCGGCGTAACTACGGTAGCGCTCTGATACCATGTTAGATTATGGAAAATACAGATGATGAAGATTGGTGATTGAACACATTGCAGAGAAGAAGAAGAAGATGTACACTCATTTGTTTGTCTCAGTTCTTTATTACAGCAGCAAGAAGCATTATATATGAAAGCCTTCAAAAAAACGGTTATAACAGAACATATGGGTGAAAAGACAAGAATACCCTTGGGGCTCAATTTGACAAGAACAAGCCTGATCCCTTGACTGCCTTGACTCCTCTTGTGGCTGCATCACCTTGTATCCTCCAACATATACAAACTACAAAGTGTAGAATACATACATACAAAGAGAAACATACGGAAGATGAGCTACAAGGATACTAACACTAGAGTCCTAATATTCTTAGTGTAAGCTATTTGAGATTCGCAAGGGGTTTGAATCATTAGTTCATGGTGGGCATTGCAAGTCCAAAGTTTGAAAATTTTCCTCAAGTGCCATATTGCCAAGCTTGCAGCATAAGAATAAGCCATGGGAGACAGGTCTTAATGAAGTTGAGCTTCTTAAGATTTAATGGAAAACTAATTACCTTGTAAATGTCTATTTGCAAATAGCTCAATCATTTTTGGTAATAAATAAAAGCCTTAACAACACTGCGTAAATTCCTGAATAATCCAACAAAATAACCACAACAACAAACCCACAATAAGTCAGTTGTTATACCATGGACCAGGGTTCATATTGCTTTGTGGACCTTGATACAAAAATTCTGTATCTTCAGTTGACCCATATTGTAACTACAGTTAACAGTTTTTGTACATGTAAATAAATAACTTGATAATTGTTACACATAATATGATAGCTACAAGTACAGAAACTATCAATATCTGCATGTACAGAATGTGTAAACTATAGATACAGAATCTGACTTGATAATTGCTGACACATAATATGATAACTACAAGTACACAAACTATCAACGGCAAGTACAAAATGTGCCAACTATACATACAGAATTTGAAAGTTATTTTTTGACCAGGGTCTACAATGCAAGGTAGACTCTGGTCCATAGTATAATTTGCCCACAATAAGTACAGTACAGTACCCAAACCACCGGCAAGCAGATTCATATAGAGTACTACTACATGGACTTGCAAATCTTACTTCCTAAATTTTATTCCCTGATGTGTGACGTGTACTAATAAACAAATTTTTTTCATGTGGGTCCCAATACAAGTGTCTACATCAAGATTTTGTGTATGAAAATAAAAATTTAGAGTAGAAAATGGGAGTACATATAAAATTTTCCATTCATATATTACAGCTCATGCTATGCTACCCCAACATCATAACCATCATCACTCAAGAACACTTTGGAAAAAATAGCATAAAATGGTATTTTAAGTGGCTATTTTGGGGTACAATTATTAGTGGGATCCACTTTCGATTTGGATCGGGTCAAAGTGGATTCGGGTTCTTCGTAGTGAGACGAAGAGATTGATATATTGTACGCTCAAAACGGATAATGGGTGAATGAGATATTGATTCTCAAAATAGACCCATTTGAGTTGGAAAAATGAAGGGAAAAGACTTTAAAGTAACTTTTGTCCCACATTGGTTTGGAAAATGGCTTTGCACCACTATTTATACAAGAGCCTTTCTAAAACTCATTAATTATATAATATAGAGGTTGTCTGTCGCGCTTAGGGGAATCAAATAGACTTGTTCTTTTCCAACACACGTACACAACATCCTTATTCCTTCATCATCATCTCTGCTTAGCTTTGTGCCTCTTAACTTTTCATTGCCTCCCAATCTTTGTAGTTGTCTGTGTTTTAGAATCAGATGTTAAGGAAAAACGAAATGCCTGATGATTAAAAGCATATAGCCAAAAAATGAAAACAACTAACTAAGCGTGATTTTTATTTGAGAAGAAACAAAACAAAATAAACATACAACAGACTTATTTAAGTACCTACCCTCGTCACATCCTTCCTTTAATTTGAGATGTTTACTCCCTTGGTCGAATGTCGATGCTGGAAACAATAAATTAAGTTATTAACGCATTTATGAGATACAGAAAAATGAGAGAAAGCATGCACGTAATTATTGATTGCAGGGGAATTAGTACCCTGGCAATGAATTTAAATAGCATGAAATGTGAAACAGTCAGAGATATAATTGAGAGATAGAAAGAGACCCGAATATATTTAGAACGAACAAGGAGGGCTTCATTTCCATAGCTTCGCTGCTCATCTTCAATAAGTTTCGCAGAAGCCAAAACGGAATCCCAGCTGTATTCTAATTGAATCAATTCAAGTGTGGTAATATCGGCAAACGCAATAGGGATCTCTCGCAACGAACTGCAACTTAACTCTAAATGTTTAAGCACAGGGAAATGATCACCCACAGCATTCCAATCTTCCCAAGTCCAGCTTTCAATTACCAACTTTTTCAATTGACGAAACCCTCCCTCACATGGCTCCCACTCTTTGCCTTCACAAGCATGTATCAATTTTAGAACTTTTAGATTAGGCAACATACCAATAAGCCTTATTTCACTCCATTGCAACCCAGTCTCGAAAAATTTGAGTTTCTTAAGATTTGGTAGAAAACTAGTTGTCCATGGGATGCCGCTATACTGAAGTTTGAGAGCCCATTTTTTGATGCTTAGTTTCTCAAGCTGCCTCAAATGCACAAAATTATAGAAACCATATGAATTTTCATATTCAAAAAGCTTTTGACCTTGAATTCCCAATTTTTTTAAATTTGGAATCCTTGTAAAAAGATCCTCCGTACAACACTTTGGACGTAACCAAGATATAGTCTCTATGTTTTTATGAACAACCTCAGAAGCCTCAAATGTAAAGTGAATTCCGTCAACATAAAAATTCCTTAACAGTGGCATTTTCCAAATTGCTGATGCATTAGAGGAATCCAATATAACACTACATCCACGGACAAGAAAACTTTGCATATTCCAATGCTCAAAGAGCTTTAGTTTAAGAGGGCCTACTTTTTCACTTAGGGACAAAGCTAAGTATCTCAAGTGAACAAGATTTGCCATATATAGCATCTTATCTTCAAAGTTCCAGAATCCAAGTTTCATGTCTACTACTCTTAATAGTTTGAAGTGACAAAGCTCATTAATGCTTAAATCAATATGATCAACAGAGTGTAAGGAATGGAAATTGCCAAAGCACTTAGATCTAATTTCAATATTGTAACATCCAGGTTTAATACTTATCCAAGGACAAGCTTTTGAAGACAAGTGTTGTGATTTCCTCTTGTAAAATGGAAGTTTTACTAGTCCAGCAACAGCACAAAGATAATCATTTCCAATGACATTCAAGAGATTTTCACATCGAGCTTCTCTTAAGCACAAGTCTCGCAAGAGATCATGCATTCTAATTGTCTTGATTTTGCCATTATAACTCTGTTTACCAACTAGAACAAGACTTCTATCAACAAGATCGTGCAAGCATTCCGTGGCTACTTCCTCCAGATTCTTATTGTTCACTACCCTGAAAAATCCCTCTGCTGCCCACAACTTAACTAACTTCTTTACAGGGATTTCATAATCTTCGGGAAAGACTCCAAAATATAGAAAGCAAGCTTTAGAATGATGTGGTAATTGGTTGTAACTCAAGGATAGTATACTTGAACATGCTTCATTAGAATCACCAATTACACTTTCTGCAACATTCTTCCACTTTTCCACCTTCTCCTCTATCTTGGAGAGAAGACTAGCTACTAAAGTAATAGCTAGAGGTAATCCTTTACATTTCTTCACTATGTCTCTACCAATTTGCTCAAACACCAAAACAAATTCTGTTCTACCAAACACATTGCAGTAGAGATTCCAACTTTCATTGGCATCTAAGAAAGGCATGTTAATGGTAGAGTTACCTAAATTTGCATATTCAGCCACCTCCCTGAGCCGAGAAGTCAATAGTATACGACTTCCATTTTTATCGTCTGGAAAACATGCTTTCACACTATCCCAGGCTTCTATGCTCCATATATCATCCATCACTATTAAATATCTCTGACCCATCAACAGTTTACGCAGATTTTCTTTGGAATTTCTTTGTCTCTTTTCATGGAGTTCATTGCTCTGTTCATGAAGTTCATCTCTTGATGCTGCATTAACACAACCAATAAGGCATTGGAGCACTTGTTCCTTGTTATACTCTTGAGATACAGTAACCCATGCTCGTTTGTCAAAATGTAAAGTAATAGATGAATATTCATAAACTTTTCGAGCTAAAGTGGTCTTGCCTATTCCTCCCATGCCAACGATTGATACAACTTGGAGCTGCTCAGCTGATTGTTGCGTGATCAGCTTATCCAATATCGTCTTGAATTCCTTGTCACATCCAACCATTCTACTGTCAAACTTTGAAGCACTTTTGGGAAATTTACTCACAGTAATATTATTCTGGCGTTCTGGATTAGCAGGCTGCAATGATGTTGAACCAAGGAGTAGTCCTCTTTGTCGCATCCGACCAAGGAGTGAAACGCCAGTGATTGATGGACCCTTTGCAAACTTGTGTTTACTTTTAATCTTAATCAACTTCTTCTTGAGGTAATCAGTCTGTTTTACTGCTTGCTTGAAGATTCCATGAAGCCTAAGGAGGCAAGCTTCTATATTACTTGACTGAAGGTATATGTTACTCAACTCCATCTCAATCCTTTCTTCGGCTTTGAACACTACATCTCTCATCTCTGCCTCTAAATCTTTCATCGCCGAATTATTATAAGGGATCTCAGATTTCTCAAGAACTTCTTGGAGGAAACCAAGATTTTCATGGAGAGAATTAAGTATCTCTTGTTTGTGTTGAAGAGGCAAGCGTGGTTGTGGTTGCAAGAAGTGTAGATGAAGTGTTCCTTTAAGTGAAGTTACAGCAGCATAAGCCATTTGCGTCTGTGTATGTGGTAAGCTGATGATCAGAGCAAAACTAACCAAGAAGAAATGGAGTGTTCCTTTACATTAAAATTTATGTGGCTTTCTGCAACTTGTAACACTAATTGCGAGTAATATGTAATTAAATATTAGAGGAAGATAATGACAACGTAACATGAGAGAAATTGTTTAATGTTAAGTGGAATCAAATAGCTCAAATCTGTCTTTTGTTTTTCTTTTCTTTTTCTCTGTTTTGTGTCTATCCAAGCCAGCTCCAGCTAGATTCCAAAATAGGAATAGCTAATCAGGTTAATGTTTTAAAAACTCGCTTTAAGAAAAATTGAGTAGGGATTGTAGATCAGGTTCATGAATACAAGTGAATAAGGGTGAGCTTGGAAATAGGAAAATAATTTTTTTTAAATAATTAATTTTTAAAAAGAAATATTTACATTTGTTAGTGTTTGATTCAACGTCAGAAATCAGTCATTTTTTTCCGTTAAAAGAAAATATTATATTTTTCTGTTTGATTCATTTTTTGAAAACATGAGCAACATCTAGGTTTAAATAGATGCACAAATTAGTGTAGAACTGTAGACCCTTTAAAATATACACAAAATGAGAAATAGTCAATAAAATTGAGGAGGTCATGTAAAGCCTTTTGTTATTATATCGCTTAGTATGCTATTATAAAAAGATAGAGGTGGTAGAATACTAAAAGTGTGGTCAAGACATTAGACATGGACGAGTGAGCACTCACTCAGCTATTAAGGCAACATCCCGTTGGACGAGTGAGCACTCACTCAGCTATTAAGGCAACATCCCGTAGTTGTAACGATTGTAAGTCTTAGATCCCAAGTAAACTATATTGGCACATAGGCGCATTTCAAGAATCGTGAGAATTTTAAAATAAAAGTAAAAAAGATCGAATTAGAAGTATTGTGACATAGACCTGGGGACTCAAAAGGTCAAAGGAAATAAAGAAAAAAGAATTTTAGAGTGAGGACCAAGCTAAGGGGCTGGCAGTTGTACTCCTGTAAAGATCAGTGTGATGTTTCAGTATTTTGATAATATTTTAGTATAAGAATGTTCAAATCATGCAATTTTAATTGCATTGGAAAGCTAATTCAAAGAGTTATTACAACTTTTATGAAAATTACAAAATCTAATTCAAACTTCTATAAGGTGAAAAATAGCTTAGAGATCATAATTGTTGCAAAAAGTATGGAAATTACAACCAACGTCATAATGTGACTCTGGCTGTGGATCAGACCAATATTTTATAAGTAGGGGTAGGGGTGTAAATGAGCAGAGTGGCTCGCGAGCCGCTCGGTCAAAGCTCGGCTCGAGCTCGGTCAATATCGAGTTCGAATCGAGCTCGAGCGGCTCGTTTGGTAATCGAGCTCGAGCCGAACTTAGATATTCTAGGTTCGTGGCTCGTCGAGCCGCTCGCGAGCCATATAATATATAATATATATAATAATGATATAATATAATATAATAATAATATATATAAATAACAATTAGAAATTAGAATTTTAAACTCAAAATCCCTAAAAGATTTCTATTATTTATGTATGGATAAAACAAAGTAGTTTGAATTTTAAACCAAAAGTATTAAATAGGTCAAAATTCAATGTCAAAATCGAGCTCGAACTCGAGCTCAAGATCGAGCTCGAGTTCGAACTCGAACAATCGAGCTGCTCGAGCAGCCCCAAAATTACCGAGCTCGAGCTCGACCTCGAGCCGAGCCTCCATTAACGAGCACGAGCTCAAGCCTACCCAGGCTCGAGCTCGGCTCGGCTCGTTTACACCCCTAAGTATGGGTGATCAATTATAAAAGGCACAAGTGTCAAATAGATCCATCTACTATTACGAAGTGCTCAATTCTCACCATGAACTAAATTAAGTGCCAAATAAGCCCATCTACCAGCTAAATTTGTTCGATTAACATTTTTTACAGGTTGCCTATCTAATTATTATAAATAAATAAATAAAATAAAAAATTAAAAAAAAAATAAGAATATCAGCCACCGACTGTACTCGCCGGACAATCGGTGGCTTATATTCTTTTTTTTTTTTAATTTTTTATTTTTTTTTTAATTTTTTATTCTATTTATTTATTTTTTTTTAATAATTAAATAAGCAACTTGCTAGTAACCTGTAAAACATGCCGATTGAACAAATTTAACTAGTAGATGGCCATATTTGACACTTAATTTAGTTCATGGTAAAAATTGAGCACTTCGCAGTAGTAGATGGGTCTATTTGGCACTTGTGCCATTATAAAAAGAAAATTGGTAGTTGTTTTTTTCACCTACTTTCTAACTTCTCTCCATTTAAAATAAAGTTATATTATGTTAGATTAAAGTTCAAGTCAATATTGCAATTCAATTTATTTCTATTTCAATTCAAGCTTGTATCTTCAATCTACATTAGATTAGAGCTAAGTTTTCATAATTGCATTTCAATTCCTTCAATTTTACTTGTGTTTTCAATACATGCAATTCCATTGTACCTTTACTTTACAAATCTAATCATTAATAGATAAATTTTCTATGAGATTTGGGTTAAGCTTGATCTTATTATAGATGCTTCTATGATTTCAATTGAATAAAAAGAGTATGTATTGAATTAGCTAATGTTCTTTGTTGTGAGTATGCTATAATTTGATCTCTTGTATCATTTAGGATTCAATTATGCTTGAGAATCTTTGGAATTGCGTGTAGCTATAAAAATAGGACACGCAATTAGATATACTACATATTCACAATTTCAATCTCGCTTTGAAAAGAAGAGATTGGAAGAAAATAGACTTTGTGGGTTATGTGTTTAATAAATTGTTCCAATTAGAATTGAATCGCCATAAGAGTATGATTGTTTGGTAATTGAAGTTTGTAGCTGTTGATATAAATAAGAAGAGGAAGAAGAAGAAGAAGAAGATTACCTAAATTAAAGCAGCATTAAGAAATCTGTTCACCCTCTCACCACAAGCAGATAGCTAAGCTTATCTCCACATGAAGAAAACAGATGGCGGCTGAGGATCGGATGATGGTGGTGCCACTACTTCTTCTTCTGATCTTCTTCCTTGCTTGTAGCTGCTATTGCATTGTATGGCTGTGGATTTTGTTGTTCCACGGCAAACATATCTATTTGATGAGTTGGTATCAAATGGCCATGTTAAGAATTCTGGTAGGTGCAATTTAATAAGATGGATCAAATTTTGTATGTATGATTGGGATGAAGTAAGGCTAAAATAGCTCATTATTATATATATTATGCCCATCATGTGCATAGTTGACATTGATTAACTTAATACATAATTTTGTTTCATTACCAAAAAAAAAAAAAAAAAAAAAAAAAGGCACAACTGGAGTACTTCAAGATAGAAATTAAAATAATTGCAAGACCCAAGCATTATATTTTTAATTGCAAAATGACAGCATTATATTGACTTTTAGTTTTTTTTTTTTTTTTTTTTTTTAGTGCTTCATATTAAAATTTATGTGGCTTTCTGCAACTTGTAACACTAATTGCTAGATATATGGAATTAAATATTCACTACACCAAAACTGTCATTTAGCGGTGGTTATTTTGTTGTTTAGCGACAGTTGTGAACCGCCACCAAATTGTTTAGCGACGGTTATCCAATCGTGACTAAATGGTAGTTGCAATTGTTTAATGTTAAGTGAAAATCTTACAACTTAAATCTGTCTTTTTTCTCTCTATTTTAAAATATTATTCTCTCTCTGTGTAGTTGCAATTTTTTTTATTAGTTAAAAGTAAAAAAAAAAAAAAATTCTATTTGATTCATTTTTTTAAAACATTAGCATAACTCTAATACAAAACTATTTCTTATAAAATATAAATTGTTTAAATGATGATACTACTTATTATTTATATTAAAATAAAATTATAAAGCAAACTTTATAATAGTCATAAAGATTAATAATAATTATAATAAAATTGTAAATAAATAATTTTAACTTATAATTTATTATAACAAAAATAAATATATGAATTGATAAATATAATAGCTTCCCGGTAAAAAAAAAAAAAAAAATGAAGAAAAAGTTTACACTTTTTTTTTGGTAGTGTGTGCCAAGCCAGGTCAATAGTTTTACCAACCATTGATAAATGCAATAACTCTAAACTAAAGAATTGAAGAAAAAATTATTCTTTGAGATTGTGGATCAGGCTAACATTTTTATTGTTTGTTTCAGCTTTGCACCATTCATATTTTTAATTGGTCATTGACAAATATAATAAGTTTAAACTAAACAAATTAAAAAAAATGTAAATGCCTTTTTCTTAAAAAAAATTTGGTCCATGGAGAATCTCGGGTTATGATTTTTATTGTTTGGCACAATCCGACCAAACCTATATTTTAACTGAACTTGCCTAGTTCAGTTCAATTAATAACGAGATAGCGGTCCAACCGACCCATTTGACACTACTCACAGGGAGAGATAAAAAGCTAAGGGTTTAGCTAGGGCGGCTCGTTCGGATACTGATTCTCATTGTTGGATTTCTACTTTCCCTTCTTGTATTGCTTCTTTATTATAATAAATCTTTTTAAGGCGAGTTTTCAAAAAAAAAAAAAAAAGCTAAGGGTGAGATAGACCTTGGAAATTTTCTCACGAATAAAATTTTTATGAGACATTTTTTCTCAAAATGGATTATTTTTTCTTTGACTAGAATGAGTATTTTCTGTTGATAGCCAAATGGTGGAAAATATGAAAAACAACTTCCAAAAATGGAAAAATTGTAATTTATGCTCTTCATAATATGTCAATTATCAATGTCACTCCTGAATTATTAGTAGTGTAAATGTTGCTCCACAATTTTCAAAGTTGTACATATATTGCCCCTCCCGTACCGTACGGGAAGAAAATTGAGGGGCAATATTTACACTAGGGGATGGGCAATATATGTACCGTTTTGAAAATTGAATGACAACATTTACACCACTAATAATTCAGGAGTGACATTGATAATTAACATATTATGGAGGGGCATAAATTAAAATTTTCCCTC